AATCCTGAACCAGAATGACTGGCCTGCAAAGCATGTCTGGACAAACGCCGTCCGTAAATAAAGAGCCCGTCCGTTGGAAAGGAGCGCGCTGGGACCAGGCCTCCCGACAGGAAGTAGGCCGGTTTCACGTTAACCCTTCCAGCCCATCGGACTCAGATGCCTTCACCTGCTCAGAACCAGCCCGGCTGCACGGGATTTTTGGACTAAACTGGGCTGTTTCTTTAAAAACGGAGCTCAGCCGATGTATTTCCAGCTAAAGTCTCACACAGAGGCTCCTGATCCATCAGAAAATCCACCAAGACCCATGACAGGGAGCTTAGACAATCCCCACATAGTTTCCCCTCCAGGGGGAAAACAACAACCTCCATGAGTCAGTAAATAAAACAGATGTTTAGTGGTTTAAAAAAAACATTTTTTTTTAAAATGCAAAAGCAACAAGTCGAGTCAGGTTTTCACATAAACACTTTCACCTCAAAAATAATTCAATAAATGAGGAAATGCAGCAGGATCCAGCCACGATAGACTATATAAATCAGCTTTTACTGACTCAGATCAGAAAAGTAAAAGTAAGTATAATCCATCTTTTACACACTAACTCCACAAAAAATATCAAATAAATACAAATAAACAGTGAGAACGCTGCTCCAACTCCAGCTTTTACACACTAACTCCACAAAAATGATTAAATAAAAACAAATAACTTGTAAGAAAGCTGTTCCAATTCCAGCTTTTACGCACCAACTCCCCAAAAATGATTAAATAAAAACAAATAAACAGCAAGAAAGCTGCTCCAACACAAGCTTGTACAGATTAGCTCCACAAAAATAATCAAACTAATGAAAATAAACTGAAAGGCCAAAGTTTTTACACATAAACACCTCAAATATACACAACAGGAACCTAACACTAAAGCTAGCCAGCTAACAAATCTTAGCTATTTAACTAGCATCAGCCAGAGGCTACCTGAGCTAGCTAGCAGGACAAACTCCCTAAAAACTGGGTTTTACACCTCCTTATCCACAAACAAACATATAACCCCTAACCTCTGCCTTTTCAATTTTTTTCTTCTATATTTTTTTTCTTTTACACCAAGACATCGTTAGCATCCTTGCTAATGATAGCCCCGGTCAGTGGGACACCAACATGAGTCCAACCATTATTTCTGCCTCACAAACAGCAGCTTCAGCTCATCATTGCAGCTTTTTTATTCATAATATTCTACATTATTTTTTAAACATTCGATGGGTCACTTTTATATTACTCTGCTTAGGTTTTCTGACCGACAGGGGCTTCATTGTGGGGTCATGTGTATTTGACCGTTTAGACAGAAAAAGCATTAACCCTTTCGTCTCTTTCGTCTTTAAGTCAGTTTGACCTGTTTCTAAAGCTAATGAGTCCCGTGTTATCTTCCTATTTGGGGCTGGAAATGAGTGGGATGCTCCATCTTCAGCTCTTTTTTAAACTCTGACATAAACCTGTCTGTGGTAATAGTTTTAGACCACACAAATATTTTTCTGCTGGCTCTAAGTACTAAATGACAACTAAAGCTAGCACTACGATAGCATGCTAAATAAAAACTAAAGCTATCACTACACTAACATGCAAAATAAAAGCTAAATCTACCACTACGTTGGCATGTTGG